AAAAGGGGGGAAAGGGGGGGGGGGGAGGGGGGGGGGGGGGGTGGTGCGGTGGAAGGGGGCGCCTCAGGCTCTGTTTAAGTTGCTCAGCCAACACCCGTGACTGTTCTGCTCTTACTATGGCGCAGCCTTGTGTGGCCCTGGGAGACGTGATCTACACACTCGTCTTGGCCGCAACCTTGACATTGTCTCTATCCTGCTGATAACAAAATGTGAGAGAACCTCACTGCTGAGTGAAACCCCTAGAGCAGTGGTTCTCAACCTTCTGGCCCTTTAAATACAGTTCCTCATGTTGTGACCCAACCATAAAATTATTTTCGTTGCTACTTCATAACTGTAATGTTGCTACTGTTGTGAATCGTAATGTAAATATCTGATATGCAGGATGGTCTTAGGCGACCCCTGTGAAAGGGTCGTTCGACCGCCAAAGGGGTTGCGACCCACAGGTTGAGAACCGCTGCCCTAGAGTTTGCTTGCTTGTCAATTTTCCCCTCGTCCCCTCCGCCTCCCCCACTTCATTTCCTGAGCTGTAAACAGGCAAGAGAAGAGCAGCTGCCTGGCGGGAGGGGGACAGAGAACTCTGCCACACCAGCACATCCTGTTATTGTGAATCGTGAGTCCTGCTCCGACATCTGCTGTCCTACAGTCCTTCCCTTTTCTGGCCCGTGGTCAGGGGAGATTGGATGAATGGAGCTCTACGTTTGTATTTTTTAGGGGAAGAGCCTGGGTTGCGCGTACTCAGAAAATCATGAGCTTGGTACCAGCACTGGATTGGAATTCCAGTTCTAATACCGAACTTCAGTTTCCTGTTTTACCCGGAAATAAATGAAAATGCTGAACTCATAGTCACATCTGAGGGCCACACGCGATCATGGAAAAGGGCCCAGCTCTTCTCCTGACTGTTAGTAGGCACTCAAGAAAGTCTAGTTCTTCCTTTCCCCAGCCTCCACTCTCTCCCCAAGGGTTTCATTTTTAGCACTAAATTCAGACTAAGCATTTGAGCATGAACTAGTCCCTGTATGTTGCGGTGCTCACAGTGGAGCGGGTGGGTTAAGTGTGGCATGTCATTACAAATGTGGGATTCAGCCCAGCTGGCGTTGCTCAGTGGTTGAGTGTCGACCTATGAACCAGGAGGTCACAGTTGGATTCCCAGTCAGGCCACATGCCTGGATGGTGGGCTCAATCCCCCAGTGTGGGGTGTGCGGGAGGCAGCCGGTCAATGATTCTCTCCCATCATTAATGTTTCTATCTCTCTCTCCCATCCTCTCTCTGAAATCAATACAAATATTTTTTAAAAATCTGGATACCTGAAGGTAACACAGGGTCTCGTTGTTGCTTTTATTTACGTCCTTGTGAGATTACTGGGCACTGAAAGTATGTTCCCCCAACTTGGCTGGGACAACCCGGACCTTCTGACTTATGACGGGTCTTCACCCCACAGCAGCCCACTGGCAGCTTCAGGGGTGTCTGAACCGACACAGGAGGACGGTGACAGGTGAGGGGTGATGGCTGCATTTGAAAGCTGAATGTCGTGTATTGTCCATTCTCCCCTCAAATAAGCAGTGAGGCCCTCTATTGCACTACCGTGGTATCAAGGTTTGCTCTTTGCAAAAACACTTCCATATGTGTTACCTTACTTCCTCCTAATAATTCTGTGAGATAAGTGGTGATTATCTCTAATTTACAGAAAATATAAAACCAGAAGTTATACAACTAAAACTTAGAAAAGATGGGACTAGATTTAAAAAAATATTAGCAGCTTAGCCTGTGCAAAGTTGTTGAACCTTTTCCCATGGAACATTTATTATCTTCTCCCCAACTCCCACCCTCCCCACTCCTCGCCCCTTCACTTTCTCCTGTAACAAAGTCCACTGTTTTCCCGGTTAAACACTGGGCTCTATGCCCTCTAGTCTCCACATTCCCCAAGCGTTTCCTCTCAGTTAGGCTTTTTCTACGGGGTAGAAGCGGGCTGCAGTTCAGCTTGAATAGAGACAAGGTCAACAATACTTGAAAGGAACCGGCATTGTGCCCTCAGGTTTGTAGGGTAACCTGAACTTTTTGCATTTTTAGATGGAGAAAGGGGTCAAAGAGCTCTGCCAAGCTGGAAGTGTAGGCCAATGGCCTTGCTCTACGAGACCTTTCCTGCTTCGGGGCTGCTGAAGTGAGGAGTGAAGCTTTGGGGGCATGAGGGGGAGTGTCAGGGGCGGGGGGAGCTTGGCAGAGGCAAGAATTGTGTATTTCATATTCCTGAGCACACAGCAGTTTATGGTCTTTGTTAATGATTTCTAAATCTTCACGTCAGTAATTAAGTCCTTTAAACTTAGGATAAATGTAATTATTTGTGTTGCCTTATTTTTTTTAATAACTAGATTTGCCAGAAATTTGTTTCTTTGTTTTTTGTTTTCCCAAAGAAACAGCTCTTGGGTTTCTTATCTGTTTCATCCCGTTTTGTTCATCGTGATTGCTTTAGGGTAGATTTTGTTTAAATCTCTGTCATTAAATGTTAACACATTATTGTTATTCTTTGGTGATAAAAAGCATTATTTAATGGCAGCATCTTGTTAGTTCTACTAGAGGCCCGATGCACGAAATTCGTGCAAGAGTAGGCCTTCCTTCCCCTGGGTGCCAGAGGGCTGCCGGCACCGGCTTCCCTCTGGCGCCCAGGACCCAGGCTTCCCTCACAGCCCTGGCTTCGTCCAGAAGGTCATCCAGAAGGACGTCTGGTCTAATTAGCATATTACACTTTTATTATTATAGATTATTAGTTCTACTAGAGGCCCGATGCACAAAATTCGCGCAAGAGTAGGCCTTCCTTCCCCTGGGTGCCAGAGGGCTGCCGGCACCGGCTTCCCTCTGGCGCCCAGGACCCAGGCTTCCCTCACAGCCCTGGCTTCGTCCAGAAGGTCATCCAGAAGGACGTCTGGTCTAATTAGCATATTACACTTTTATTATTATAGATTTTCTAAATAGTTTGCAACACTATTCTAATGTTCGAAGGGGCAAAAGTCTTTTCTAGTTCCCAATAGATAGATATTAAAAAATCACTCAGACTTAACAGAACTCAACTGGGGCAGTGGTTTGGGTGAGTAACGGGGCTTTTTCCCTTCTCACAGACATCGGTACTGGCAGCTGTGGGGCAGCTGGTGTCAATGAGGAAGCAGGCCTGGGCCAGATGGCCTTTCCTTGTGGTCTTATGCCATCACCTCCGCCCCACCCCCACCCCCCAAAAATAACTGGAGCACATGGTCAATCTAAGACTGGGGTGGTACACTTCTTGCTGAGCATGAGGTCCTCAGGGCTCCCTAAAAAACCTTAGGAAGAGTGAGAGGAGGTGGGGCCTGAGAGGAGGTAGGGACCAGGGAGTACAGAGTAGGAAGAAAGGGATGGAAGGTGGGCGATGGCGGAGGTGGGGGGGAAGGGGCGGTAGGAGAATTTGCCTCTCCCGTGACTGAGGCCTGGGAGGCCTGATTAGACATGACATCTCTCAAGCACTGACACGAGTCATTTTGGGGCCAGAACGGCCTGAATCCTCTGAGCCTGTCCGGCCTGCAAATTAGGTTTGCGAAGGGGCAGGGAGAGATTGTTCTGAGCAGGGCCTTTCTCACGTGTTGTGTGGGTGAGCGCTTCTGCTGTGCCTTCGATTGTGAGGGGCCTTGCGTTTCTATCGATGACAAAGGATTCATCACTGCTGGAGAGAGACTCCTCCCTGTCTGGCTGATAGAGGCTCTGAGAGGTCAAGGACAGGATAGTGTTTAGGAGGTCTCACCGCTCCACCCCTGAGGATTGCTATGGAGAAATGTCATCACACTACAGTCAGGTTCTCAACCTTTCCAAACTGGGAACCTGGGAAAGGACTTGGCTTACAGGAGGGAACCTAATCATGGACACAGGGCATGACACTGAGGGTGGCAGTCCAACTCCTCTTACTCCAGGGTTCTATATTCTGGGCCCCAGGACTGGCTTACAGATGTCACTGAATTGTGCAAGGGCTATAAGACAGATGGGTGAGGCCCTGGCTGGTGTGGCTCAGTCGGTTGGGCATCGTCCCCATGCACCGAAAGGTCCCGGTTTGATTCTTGGTCAGGGCATATGCCTGGGTTGTGGCCTCCATGTGCAGGAGGCAGCCCATTGATGTATCTCTCGCATTGATGTTTCTTTTTCTCTGTCCCTCCCCCTTCCTCTCCCTCTCTAAAAATCAATTTTTAAAAAGTCTTTAAAAAAAAAGAGGAATGAGAAAGGTGAGAGACTGCACCCTGAGGAAGGCTAGAGATGCATTTTATCTCTGTGTTCTCACAGTCCTAGGCCCTGATTGAAACAGACCAAATGGGTACAGACGATCCTAGGCACGTGAGAAGACCCTCCACTCATCACCATCAGGGAAGTGCAGATCGAAGGCACACCGAGAGACCAGCTCCTTCCCACGCGGATGGCTGCAATAACAAATAAGGACGACAGCAGCTGGTGGTGAGGATGCACCAAAATGGGAACCCTCGTGTATTGCTGGTAGGGATGTAAAATGGTGCAGCCACTTGGGAACACGGTTTGGCAATTTCACAAAATGTTTACTGTAGAATTACCATGCGGCCCAACATGGTAGACAGGACCAGGGTCTCCCCAAAGGAGTCCACATTCTCATTCTCAGAATCTGTGAACACACTGCCTGACCCGGCCAAGGGGACTTCCACAGATGCCATTAACTGAAGGATTTTGAGGTAAAGGGATTATCCTGGATTAACTGCATGGGCCCAATGTAATCACAAGAGCCGTGAGCCAAGGAATGCGGGCAGCTGCAAAGGCAAGGAATGCATTATCCCCCGGTTCCCAGAAGGAGCAGAGCTCGGTTGACACCTTGATCTTAGCCCATAAGACCCATTCTGACTTCTGGCCTCCAGAATTTTAAGATAAATTTGTGTCGTTTTAAGCCACTGGTTTGTGATACAGTAGAAATAGGAAGCTAATATACCTCATTATGTCACTCTTAGGTATCTACCTAGGTGCTAGGAGAAATAGAACATATATCTACACAAATCATGTATACAAACATTCACGGCAGCATTATTCATCATAGCCAAAAGACGAAGCGAGTGGGGAGTTTCTGTAAAGGAGCACAAGGTTTCTTTTTGGGGTGATAGACATATTCTCAAGTTAGATTGTGGTGATGGAAGAGCAATTCTGTAAATGCACCAAAGCCATCGATCTTAAATGGGTGAGTTTTTTGGTATGTAAATTATACCTCAACAAAGTATTAATTACATTTTTTTTTTAAAAAAAGATCCTACACACAGCATTCCTTTGATCCTTAAAGGTAATGCCTACTTTCCCTCTTCAGTGTTTCTTTTTGAGGGGTCGGAAGGACAATGTCCTGACCTTTGAGTCGTGGACGTCTCACATATCTTTCTTCCAGCAAGAATTCCAAGCAGCCTGGTACTGATCTCCTCCTTAGAGATCTTGCTGTGGAGAGGAGTTTGTGAATGCATGTTGGACACCTAGTATTTTAAGGAAGATGGTGCTGAGAGGGTTAACTTGAAACGCGGGCAGGCAGGGCAGGGGTCCGGTGGGGAAACAAAGGCAGGTAGAACATAGGAGAGGCAGACATGGCAGTTTGAGCAGCTTAACCACAGAAACCAACCAAGCAGAACTCAAAGCAAGAAGCGTGGGAAAACAAGGAGGGCCTGGAGCAACAAGGTGTATGCACACACAGAAACGGAGAAAGTTCAGGCCCTTTGCTGGGTAAGAACAATGAGGGAATCAATCAGGTGAGGACACAGATAGACACAGAGCAGGCTTGTAGCACAAATATACCCTGGACTACAAGGCTTGAGGGGGCAGCCCATTACTGGGCTTCCCCTCCCCATGCAGGGAGTTTGACTCTGCTTGTAGTAATCTTTCCACACTTTTGCTTAAATCTTCTGGTCCATGGAGCTCATTCTTCGGCGTTGCAAGACACGACCCCAGGGAAAAAATACTCGGCTCGCTGTTCCGGTTATCAGTGCTAAGAAAAATGAGAAAGCTAAAGCAAGAAGAGAATTTGGGGTAGAGTGCCCTGTCTGCTGTTGCTTGGGCAAGATATGATGGTGACAGCTGGTGTTTTACTTAGAATAAAGAATTCAGTGGAAATTACTGGGAACCAGTCTTTTCATTTAAATAAACGTTTAGTAAATCACAATAGTAGATTTCTGTCTCTGGTTAAAGCTTCCTCCGAGAAATCAACGCAATCAAAATAACATCTATCTGTGCATGCACACACCTGCCCACTTGTCCTAGTCAAAAAGAAAATGGCCCAACTGGTTTGGCTCAGTGGATAGAGCATTGGCCTGCAGACTGAAGGGTCCTGGGTTCGATTCCGGTCAAGGGCACATGCCCGGGTTGCGGGTTTGATCCCCAGTAGGGGGCGTGCAAGAGGCAGCCAACCAATGATTCTCATCATTGATGTTTCTCTCTCCCTTTCCCTTTCCCTCTCCCTTTCCCATCCTCTCTGAAATCAATAAAAACATATTGAAAAAAGAAAATGAACCACAGTGCTGGGCCTTGGCCGAAGCACCATGTTGTTGATCAAAGTCTCCCTTTGATGTGCGCTGAACAGCTTCCAGAGAGTGTGTGGAAATTCTAGGGTTCGCAAGAAACCTTAAGAGATGGGAAGTTATTGTTGTACAGCCTTTAGACTTCAAAGGTGACCTTAAGCTTGAAAATCATAAATCTGAAATTTGAGATGTGAAAAGAGTATTTGTGCAGAAGAGAACGTAAACTCTCTGACATTTCCCAAGATTGGTTTGAATCAGGATATTCTGTCTTAAAATGATTTGCTTTGAGTATTTTATTTACTCATATTATTCTAAAATAGATTTAACCAAAGTCAGCTATGAACACCAAAGGCTCTACGTAAAACTCTTGATTCACAGGTGACCCTTCTTTCATAGTTTTCTTTTTTAAATATATTTTTTTATTGATTTCAGAGAGGAAGGGAGAGGGAAAGAGAAATAGAAATATCAAAGATGAGAGAGAATCATTGACTGGCAGCCTCCTGCACGCCCCACACCAGGATCAAGCTGCAACCCGGGCATGTGCCCTGACCAGGAATCAAACCGTGACCTTCTGGTTCATAGGTCGATGGTCAACCACTGAGTCATGCCGGCTGGGCAACTTCTTTCATAGTTTTCTACGCCTTTCTCTTTTGGGGGAGAGAACTGTACATGCAACATGTATGCTGCTTGTTAGGAGATGGTGGGGAAATCTGGGTGACCCCTGATTGTCGGTGGACAGGAAGCATAGGCTGTCTCCTTTCTGAGCCCCACTCAACGGGAAACCTCATAGCCAAAGGCTGAGTAGAAACAGATGCCACAGCCCTGGCTCTTCCCATGATGCTCCCTGCTCAACAGGGAGCTACCCAGAAGCTGACTCTGGCCCCTGTCCCGGCATGCCTCCCCCAACAGGCCTCCCCCATATGCAGGCCTGGGATTAGTTCACAAGGGATGGATTCCACTTTATGGGCCAGAGAGGAGCTCAAGGACCAGGGAGGAAGCTGCTTTCTTCCACAAGTTTCGTCAATGTGGGTACCGCTGGCAGCTGCAGTGGCACTTCCTCGAATGTGGGTTTCTGAGAAATAGAAAGTGGATGGTCTAGCATGTGTCACCTGCTCGTGTCCTCTGCTCTGACTGATGGCATGCCTTCTTCATGAGAGCCTTGGGGTTCCAACTCCTTGCTCTGAACAGTAAGTCCTAGACGACAATGTATGTGAAACCAAAGGGGATGTAGGAGAAGGGTACGAAGGCTTGGAGGACACACGGGTCCCGCACAGAACTTTGGGAGGTGGGTACAGAAGTGTCAGGAGGCGGCCTTACTGCTCCGTCCCCGGTGGTGCCATCACTCCATCAATGCCCAGCTCCCTCAGGACCGTAACCACTCTCTCTTAGATGGTGAGGGACCCTTTCCCACCAGGTATGTTATTAATTCTCGGCCTCATTTTAAAGATAATAATACAGGTTTCATAAACCTTCTTTCCCAGGCTGTTCCTGCTGTGACTTTGCTTCTAGAAGGTAGCGCTGCTTCATTTCCTGCGTGTCTCTACACTGTGACCGACAAGCCTACAGGCCCTCCTTCAGACACGGGCAGAGTGTGGTCACCTCAGCTCCAAGCAGCCTGTCTTTCTGACCACTCAGCTCACCAACTCAACCTGTACTTTTCCATTCTGCCCCGAGAGAATTCTTCCAACCTGTACTGGAATTAAATCCTAAATATATGAATAGCCAAGACAGTTCAGTAATAATGTTCATAGCTAACAGTTACTGAGCTCCTACTGTGTGTCAAACACTGGTCTAGGCACTCTATAGGAGTGACCTGTTTCACCCTCTCAACACTGATACAACCCTATTTCACCGATTCTAAGATATGAATTATTTTTCACATTTTAACATCTCCAAGATCTTATAATAAATAGGACGTTTAGTTTCATTGACGGCATTTTTTTCCTTCTCGGTGATATGTAAAATGATGCTGTGTTTTGCCATAACGATGTCTTAGATTTGATTAAAATAACTCAATGCGCTACAGTGAATTGAGTTTGGGAACTACTAAGTTAAAGAAGTTTTGATGTCTCGTTGTGGGGTTCTTTGATATTTTAAGGCCTCAGCAGGAATAAACATGTACTCTAATACCATATCCCTACTTTATTCTTATGAAAAACACTGGATTTTTCCTTTGGTGAGGGCAATGCTCATTGGCAAACTTCATTTTGTTACTGGGCAGGAGCAGTCAACTTGACAAATGGTGTGTGTGTTTTTAAAGAATAGTTTATTGATTTCTTAGAGAGAGGGGAAGGGAAAAGAGCGAAACATCAATGTGAGAGCACAACATCAATCAGCTGCCTCCCACATGCACTCCCCTCCCCCCCCAACTTTCAGAGATCTAGTTCACAACCTGTGCATGTACCCTGACCGGGAATTGAACTAGCAACTTCTCCGTGCACAGGACGACGTCCAACCAACTGAGCCACACCAGCCAGGGATGCCTTTTGTTTTGAAAGGCAAGGTAGTACAGAGGTTAAATCACCAACTTTAGAACCAAACTTCCTGGGCTTAGAGTCTGGCTTTGTTCCTAACTAGCTGTGTGACCTTGGGTTAGTTACTTAATCTCTCTGTGCCTTTTTCCTTATCTGTAAAATGGTGATACTAGTAATGCCTCTCTCAATGGATTGGTGTGAATATTAAATTACTGATATATGTAGAATACATTAAACAGTGCCTACAAACAAACACAAAAATATTTGCTATGGCTCAGTGCCCTCAGTGGTAGTTGCATCACTGCCACTAGAGGGAGCTGTTAGCCTTAGGGCCGTGATGGTTCCCCTTAATAATAGGTACATGATTTCTGAGCTGGGGAACTCAGCCCTGGGGAAAAAAACAAAACAAAACAACAACCCTGTTCTCTCCCTCATTTAAATAAGAAGAACCTGTAATTGTAGGAGAATTGACCCGCCACGGTGCAGGGAAAGGGCAGGGTGAGGCCAGCCCAGGAGAGACCCAGCCAGCCAGAGCTGTCATGTCAAACATGAGCTGGAGGTTGGGATAAATTGGGACCGCAGGGCCAACAAGGACAACTGTAGAAACTTGGTTTTTGAGAGAGTAGTATGCCTTTATCCCAGGCCGTGCTCCCTGGAGGCCGCCAGAGAAGAACCTGTGGTGGTGGTGTGAGGAAAGAGAGAACCAGCGCTTGAATCCTGCATGAGGGAGCCTGCAGAGCCAAGAGCCTAAACAGCAAGTCCATGGGGTCAAGGGGAGAACTGAGATGAGACACAAGGCCAAGGTCTGAATGTGAGACCAGGCCCTCAGGTGGGGGAGGAGCATCTGAGGAGAATGCAGCAGGAAGGAGCGCGGTATGAGGCCTGCATGCAGAGCCCTGGGTAGGAGGCGAGCTCCTGGGGCCACCGAGCCCTTGGGGCTCTCCTCTGCATCCTCCTCCCCTGATGTTCGACTCACAGGGAATGCCTGCAGCCTAATGGGCCCATATCAATTCTCTCTCTCTCTCTCTCTCTCTCTCTCTCTCTCAAGCTGTCTACAGCCTAAGGAGCCCAGACCAGCCCTGCCTCTCTTCTCACCAGTTCATTTGCTGCTTTCTTTGCGGAAATCAATCTGTTTCACACCTGGTGGCTCCGAGGGGGTTAGTCCACAGCCAGGGGCTCCCATCTCAATGGATTTCATTAATGTATGTCCTGGGCTGCCTCCCCCTCTCTGCACTGTCACACCCTGAATCCTGGGGTTGCCGGAGCCTCCTCTGTGTGCAGAGTGAGTGTGAGGCAGGGAGCTGTGGGGGTGAGAGAGAGCATCTGAACTGTGACTTAGACGGAATATTCCGCTCACCAAATGGGTGAGGGCCCGGAGCAAATAGATCTTATTTATAGAAAGGAAGAAGTGACATTTCTTAATGCCAGCATCAGGCAGAAAAACTCACATCAACTGTATTGGTTCCCCAAAACTGCCTGTACTCAGAAGAGGCTGCTTTGTGGTCGAATTTGCAAGGCCCTGCTGGAAGGTTCCTACTGCCCCGGAAATGCTTCCCCCGCCACTCATCCCTGCCTGGCATTTTCGTCACTTAGCGTTATTCCTGTTTTTCAGGTATTTCCTTGGGAAGAGGAAACCATTACCACGCATCACTTGACTGGTCCAACAGGGAGCTGGGCCGAGGGCTGCCCTCATTGGGTGACTTTGCCCTTCGTGGTTTCTTCTCTGTATTTGGTGGAAGAGCTGCACCAGGAGCCTGTTGTCTCATATATTTTCTCTCCGGCTCAAGCGCCACTGGGGGCCAGGGCGCAGTGGTGTGCAGCCACCTCCCCGGGCACTGCCTCCCTGCTGCCCGGAGTGCCCTGTCATTGGAGTTGTGGAGAGAGGCTACAGTGTTTGGACAGGTTCAAGCCTTGGACTGATGAGAGGGCACAGTCCTCTCATGGCCACGTGCAAGTCCCAGCTTGGAGGGCAGGGCCCTCCCAGCACAATTATAGCCAACAGCTGTAGTTGTAAGCGTGAACCTATGGTCTGAACACGCAGCCCCATGTGCCTGAGTGATGTGGGCTTGATAGAGTTCAGGTGCATGTAGTTGAGTAGGATGGAAACCCATGAGGATGTTGTAAACATCTTGACCACGCCCTTACCTTGCCTCGTGGCATCTGCTATAAAATAAAGACTCGGCGGCTTGTAGGTGACGCTGTCTCTCCATCAGAGAAGCAGCGTCCCACCGAGACCCAGCTTTTCTTCTCTTGTCTGTCTTTTCTAAATCCTCCTCCGCCCCCACTCAGGTTCACCCTTGGCCGTGTTGGCGCGGCACAGAAGTCCCCTGTCATCGGGGAAGCTGCTCCCGGCCACTGACCACTGACCACTGTGCATCCGCAGTGACAGAGATGATGCAAACACAGTGGGTCCATGAGTCCCATAGCCCGCCCTTGCCTCCTGGCCTCTCTCCTCCATATTAGGGGATGGGGCACACTTCCCAAGCCTCCTCTTCATTTTTAAAAATATATATATTTTTTATTGATTTCAGAGAGGAAGAGAGAGGGAGAGAGAGATAGAAACATCAATGATGAGAGAATCATTGATCGGCTGCCTCCTGCATGCACCCTACTGGGGATCGAGCCCGCAACCCAGGCATGTGCCCTTGACCAGAATCGAACCCTGGGCCCTTCAGTCCTCAGGCTGACACTCTATCCACTGAGCCAAAACGGCTAGGGCTCCTCTTCATTTGTTCATGGATAGCGTAACCCCCTTTTCGGGATGTGGAATTGTGAGTTGCCTACTAGAAACCTCCTCCCATTAGTCTTCTCTACTTCCATCCGCTCAGGCCAGAAATCTCAGCATTGTTCCCGACCCCTCCCTTCCTCCTACCCTCCACATCCAGCCCATCAGCAGGGCCTGTCAGCTCCATCTTCATTAGGCGTCTCAAAGCACAATGGACACATTTTACTCTGGTAACCAGAAAAAATAAGCTCTGGTGTGCAAGCAGGCTCGTGCGCACAAGGCGGTTTGCTTGTTGGCAGTTTTTCTAGTTGAAAGGGTTTTAGAGAACGTGGGAAGTGGAGGTAAGGGTTTGACGGGGTAGGAACAAGAGTTTAGGTCTCAGGGTTTGAAAGGGGGATGAAAAAAGCACCATATTTTCCACTCCTGCTCTGCCCCAAGAAAAAGGCTGCTGAGAAGGGCATGTGTAGGCTGCGTGCCTACATGTACCTCACTTTTAGGTTAAAAGCGCAGGTGACCTGGACTTCCTACAGGCCCATAGGTGGAGGGTAGCGGTCTGCCAGGTGGTGTTGATAACCTGGCGGTATCCTGGCGGCCCCCCTGGAGGCAGAGAGGCGGCCAGAGGGCAGGAGACTGATGGTGGTGAGATCATGCTCCTTGGGGCTGTCGTTCGAGGGTTGGTCTCCTTCAGGGTAGGGTCTCTCTCAGACCATGCCCAGGAGGGGCCTTCCCAGAGGAAGCAGGTGTGGGCCGAGGAGATGCAGGGTGGAGAAGAGTTGTTACGTCCACGAGACCGTGAGCCCCTGGGAGCTGGGTGGAGGCTGGCTCATTTGAGGGTCCAATGAGAAGGTTTTTCTTTCTTGTCCGAAGGCTGGGGTCATTCTAGGGGCACAGATAGGGGCCCTGATATGGTAAGTACCAGGTGCCAGATTCTAGCTGGGAGGAACATATGCCCCCTCAGCCGGGGGTGGGGGTGGGGGGCAGACAGCTGCCTCGGGTTCCATGCAGAGGACTCCCAAGTGGTTAGACCTCAAAGGAAACCCTCCTGCAGAGCTCCCCTCCGTCCTCAACCCCTCCGCTTAGGAAGGGATATGGAAAAGGAGGTGAGGACATGGGACTTTTTTCAACTCCTATTACCAGGGCCTTGGGGCTGGGGGAATTGGGGCTATGTTGTTTAATGGTAAAAACTTGCAACTCAGATAAATAAGTCCTGGAAAGCTAATGCACAGTATAGTGATTATAGTCAAAACTTCAAAGTTAAGAAAAAAAAAAAAGAAATGAAATCCATTTACATTGTAAGTCTTTGGAGTCTCATTTCCTCGGTTCGAATTCCAGCTCTAGCACTCATTAGCTGGTGACTTGGGGCAACTTGCATAACCTTTCTAACACTGTTTTTTTGTTTTGTTTTTTGTTTTGTTTCATTTTAAAGATGAAGGCAATAATATTACATGCCTTGTAGATTTGTTATAGCATCAAAGGAGACGATAAAGTGGCCGGTATAATGCCTGGTCAAACTAAATAAATGCTCAATAAAGGTTAGCCATGAGGATCACCCCACAAGGCGGTGATCTGGGTTGTCGCTCTGGATCCTGAGGAACACGTGAGAGGGAAGAGTCCCAAGCTGGTGCACGTGACAGCAAAGGATTTTCCCTGGTGCCCCCTCTCCCCACTATGACATCTGCACGATGCGGGGAACTGTGCCCAGGATGAGGCTGAAGGGGCAGCATCCCAGGG